AAACATCGCGCGGACGTATAAGTACAACCCGTCAGTTTTTCATGTTTGCAATGAAATTTTCTATTCAGATAGGTGTTTTAAACTATGATTTTCTTTCATAATATATATAGTTAGATAGACATGATACATATCATCGTGTTTCTAAAGAATTGCTTATTTTAATCCTGTTTATTTCAAGTTGATAGGTTCAATATTAGTAAAGTTACGGCTTCACCCTGGAGGGGCAATTTCTTCGTAAACTAAAAACCGCATCGTCAGCAAAGATTTGACGAAAACACAACATTTTTTGCGCCGGTGGCATTTTTTCATTTATGGATGAATCTTTATCAAATTTGAAACATGTTTGAGCTAAATATACAAATTGTGTCTTGGCCGAGGCGGAATTTTAAAATTCAAATTACAATTAGAGAAAAAATAGCTAACATGTGTCAAGTTTTACCGCTGATTTTCGAAAAAAATGTGATGTAATTCCTTATAGAGTTGGAAGAAAACGAATTATTTAAACTGCACAGGATAAAAATATATTAATCCAGATACATGTAAGCTTTATATACAAATCATTACATACGTTAAAGGGCATCATCAACTACTAGAAAATCGTGTGTAAAGTTGGACAATATTTGACCCGAATTGACCGGCAAAATGGCTGCGCGCTCGCAGCGCCTCTAGCGGAGGAATAATTATGACGCGAAATTCCCGGGTGTGCGCTGGTATTAAAACGAGTTAAAATCACACGGTGAGTAAATAATTCATTCTTTCTTGAATATACAATGTCCATAAAATTGATATACGTGAAATATTAAATACGTTAATCAGTTGAAGTGATTAGATGAAGACGCAATTATAATTTCTTATTACACTAATTCTAATTTGATCATTTAAAGTAATAATTAATATGTCATTTAATGTATATGATTGCTGGACATATCTGATCGTATTGTAACCAAATGCACAATTAAAAGCTCTCTATAATCTGTCAGTCTGAGCTTTAATCACTCCAGTATTGAAATCACTGTTGGTTTATGAAAACACATAATGGAATTTTGTGCTAAGGGCTGATGTACCAAAAGCACAATCCATATTATCTTCTAGACACTTTATGTAGAACTGTAACATAACTCTATAAATAGTAGCACATATAGCCTATGTACGCACTAGAGTCCATTTCACTGCTTCATTTCGTCAGTAGAACGGCAAATATAAGAAATTGGGAGACCATTGTGCAATAATATATGGAAAAGTATATTCATAATGTACATGAATGACATTTGTATATCTTGGATTGCTTCTAGTTTGGCTTATAAAGTGTATGGCCTCTTATATTTGGATGTTTCTCTGCCATGCTATTTTCAATAAGATTAACATGGCTGAAATTCTTCAAATTACAAGACGGCACAACCTTATTGCACAAAAATCTGAAATATACAAACATCATTCATGTACATTATGAATATACTTTTCCATATATTATTGCACAATGGTCTCCCAATTTCTTATTTTTGCCGTTCCACTGACGAAATGAAGCAATGAAATGGACTCTAGTTCCAAAGTGAAAGGACCGGAAATTAGATAACATGGGATGGGTTGATATTCAAAGATCTGACAGAAAAGTTAAAGTCGGTTTTAGCTTAGTAGTTGAATGATAAAATATACCAAACGTTAAGTGTCTGTAAACAACTTTTATGCCAATACCTTAAAGTGCAAATTCGATAATTTCCATTTATTTTTCTTTACACAAATAGATTTAATGGGCATTGTTTGGTAGAAACCGTATACCAACGTGTATAGTTTCGATACTGTATTCTGACTGGCCAGAACGTAATTCTGCATGACTAGTTTTGTGAAAACGCACCACAGGGCCGGGAGCTCTAATTGAGGCATTATATTTTTCGCTCATCGGAGGAAAAATCGTGGCTCCGAAGTAGTCAAAGTTGAATCATTTCCGCACTGCATTGAATGCAGTGGCATTCAACAACACTGACTCTTTATAGGCACGTTCGGATATCATAAACTCCACAAACATGTTCCAAACTTGTTCTGATCGTGATGTCATGATTTGAAAAAAATCAAACGGGTACATTTCTAAAAATTTCTTATTTTTGATATATTTAACCGTAAACTATATTGGGCCCCATGTTAATTTATCAATCTTCAAAAGACCCCCTGCAGAACAGTTTTAGAGTAAAAATCACTACCCTTCCACAAAATAGGAAGGGTTAAATTTTTTATTTTACCTAGTTCCAAAGCTATTGACGTTTGAATTTTGGAAAAATCCCATTGGCTGCCATTATAAACGGCTATGAATGTAGCTTTACTAAAGTGTCCCTTTCTCAAAAAATTTTTTTTTGATACGCCCTGTATATTGAGATGACATCGTCGCTCGGATCATCATCGTCGACATCATCATCGCTGATTGGTCAAAAGTCGACAAACAAATGACGTCATCAATGGCGGTTTCATAATTTTCGAAATACACTTTGAATAATACTATGTTCATTTCTGGCGTGTTAACCAATATCGTAGCTTCTCATTTCACATCAAGAAAAAGAAAGGTGTACATAATATGCCTATATCAATTAAAACATCCCATCGAAGTGTAGTATTTGATAACTAGCCGATAAAAATTCGAATGAACGGTGAATAAGGGTGGTTAGCAAGAGACGTAATGATGTCTGTCATCTTTAAACTCTGGGACCTCTTACTTAATATGTTGATTTTAGAAAAATCAAACAGGCACATTTCTGATTTTTTTATTTTTAATATATTTAGCCGTCAAAGACTATAAAAAACTATATTGTGCCTCGTGTCAAATTATCATATGTTCAACTTAATGGCTGAATATTTGTATCTGTTTTATTCTTTAAAATCAATATATTAACTACAGAAATATGCAATATTAGAAAATTCCACAGTAAACTCTTTGAGAAAAGGGCACTTTAGTAAAGCCATACTGATAGCCGTTTATAATGGCAGCCAGAGGGGATTTCCCAAAAATCAAAGGCAAATATCTTTGGAACAAGGTAAACGAAAAATTGTTCATTGTTTATAGTTTTTAACGGCTAAATATGTCAAAAATAAGAAATTTTCAGAAATGTGCCTGTTTGAATTTTTTAAAACCAATATATCAACTATAGAAATCTGCAATATTAGAAAATTCCACAGTGGAATTTTTGAGAAAAGGACACTTTAGTTAAGCCATATCGGTAGGCATTCATAATGGCAGCCAATGGTGATTTTCAAAAATTCAAAGGCAAATATCTTTGAAACAAAGTGAAAGAAAAAACTTTCAACCTTTTTATTTTGAACATAATCATGTTATTGTAACATACTAGGAGAATGCAGGCTGGAGAATGGGCATTATTACTCTAAAACTGTTCTTCAGGGGACCTTTTGAAGATTGATAAATTAACATGGGGCTCAATATAGATTTTGTAGTTTTTAACGGCTAAATATGTCAAAAATAAGAAATTTTTAGAAATGTACCTGTTTGATTTTTTTAAACCAATATATATCAACTATAGAAATCTGCAATATTAGAAAAGGACACTTTATTAAAGCCATATTGATAGGCATTTATAATGACAGCCAATGGGGAATTTCCAAACTTGAAACGTTAATATCTTAAGAAGTAGGCAAAATAAAAAATTTAACCCTTTTTATTTTCAAGATAGTCATGTTATTGTAACATCCTGGGAATATGGGCTTTCTTACTGTAGAACTGTTCTGTGGGGGTATTTTGAAGATTGATAAATCAACATGGAGCTCAGTGTAAATATGCAAATTTGTCAAGGACTGCTATTATCAACTGAGGCCAGTTTTCAACACCACTTTGTTAGATATCAAACATATATTTATTAATGACACTTATGTCAAAAATGTTTGCTTTATATATAGCAAGTGCAATTCAAGGGTTTTACTGCTTTAACTGGCTCCACCATAAACTCAAATTTGACCCCATGAGCATCGCACAGACACATGTTATGATACTTTTTTTTAAAAAGTTGCATTTTTCGGCACATCCTATACATACCAGCTTTCAGATCATATAGGACACTCAGTCTAAATGATGTAAGTATCGTTTCGAAGTTCTTTTTAATTAGCGGGTCAAGGATCAACATCCAGTCGAAGAGTCGTCGCCATAATTCCTGAAATATAATCTTTACCTATTGCCAACGGGGGCAAGTCATAGCAATGAACCAGTCAAAATGAATTATCTTAGAATGCTTTAAAACAGTCATTCGAACCACACAAACATACAACTTTAGATTCAGCATTTAGGCAAAATCTAGGGGACATTATTGAAAAAGATTGAATCGAAGACATAAACTATTTAGATACGTCTTGGCGGTTTGTTTTGATGTATTTGATGTGTTATCCGGTAATTATACTTTGGACTATTGCAGAATCGATACTCTGTTTGTTACTGACGTTTATGTTCAGTTAACTTTACACTAAATCAAATATATTTGATCAGCAAACATATTTAATTGTCCTCATGAAATCGGGTCAAATATAATTAGTTGTGACATGGGAAAATATTACAATAGCAATATGTTATGTAAATTTCTTGGTCTCTGGTTATTAGTCAAATCTGTCTTATTCCCACTCCTAAATGTCAACTTTCCATAAACTAAGCTAGTATAAGCGTAACGCTGGTAATAACTAACAATGAATTTTACATTGTTGTTTTGTTGCATGTAGATATGAGCTAATCAGATTAATATAAAAGTATAAGCGCCTATAGTTTACCTCCTTTGTTGTCAATGGGGTGGGTTTCTTGAAAATAATTTTGACTTTGGAGACCTCTAGCTTTGTTAAACATGGAGAAACATGAGTTTTTTGTCGAAATTATGTCGAATTATATTTCAAGCCCTAAAAATAGACATTAAAATCGAAACGTATATATTCTTTAGCATGTGCTTCAATTAGGGAGTTAGAGTTCCTCATGGAGGGGAGTATCGTTTTCACAATATTAAATATATACCATTTGCACTTTGTAGGTAACATTATGAAACTACCTCCAAAACAATGCGCATTTATTTTAACAATACTCATGTCATTGTTAGAAATAGTAAAAACTAACATTCCTCAAGGCCCACCACAAAGTCCACCAAAGGCCCCACCACAGGGCCAACCACAAGGGCCACCACAAGGTCAGCCAAAAGTCCCACCACAGGGGGATTCAGACAATACCGAAGTTCCAGTAGGTGGCCTAAATAAAAAATACAGCAACAACGATATAGATGAAGATTTAGGCTCAACTATTAAGATCGGTGGGCCAAAGAAATTAAAGCCAGGAGTAATGTCGGACTATCAACATTCAGACATCGTAACAAAAAATATGGATGGAACCATAAATTGGAATTGGGATAGTACAATGTTTAATGTTGAAGGTCTGACTCTTAAAGTTGGAGGTAAAACTATAAGCACGAATCAAAAATTAAAAAAGGATGACTTGGTGAGTTTATTTTAACAGCGATTTATGGAAACATTTTTTTAAAATTATTAATTCATCTTAAACTATCCGACTTTTGCCCTAATGTCCATAGGGGCAGCAAGCTGTTTCTTAGTTAGATTAAATTAACTAACGAGTTTATTCTCACATTAGATCATGGTTTTGGGATATTCGGGTTTGATTTTCGTTTGACTATTCTGGTCTTTGATGTGTAATTGGTCCTTGAATAGTGTGGGGAAGGGGGGGGGGGTTGGTGGACACTATTTATTCTCACATTAGATCACGGTTTTGGCAGGTTCTCCCCAGGAAATTTTTAGACCCCAGATTATTTCGCTGTATTGCAACTACTCCTTCCCCATGTGAGATCATAGATATCCTATTAGTATAGTTTCTAAAATGCTACTTAAGATTATCTACATATCTTAATCACAGTATACATTTCTAAAAGGTTTCTGACTTTATATTTCTTGTTTTTATCCGATTTTATGTATTCATCAATGGTTTTACAACAAATAATGTGTAAATGATTTAAAAATAGACTCCAGAGAAAACACTTTGGACCCTGGAGCAATAGAGTCTAAAGACATTAGACTCTGGAGAATGTCCGGAGTCTAAAAGCCTAGTTCGGCCCCTAAAACCCAAAATTTGGCCCAACACTTTGAAAATTCCGGCCCATTATTTTGGCCTAAAATTCCAAATTATTCCCAAAAAGATCCACTTTGGGGCGCTTCGAAGATTTTATGGGCCCTAAAACTTTTTCTGGGCCCACAAGACCCCCTTCGCTGTGCATTTTTTGATTCCAAAGAATTTTCAATAATCTTTAATCTTATTGAAAGGTATACTTTTCTTAAAATCAATTGATGTAATACAAAAATGCATTTATGTGGTATAAAGTACAGAAACAGAGTAAATGAAAGTTGTATTTTAGAATATCAACGTTTGATTGTAGTATCTCTTGCCCGTGTTTCTATCATTATAAAAGATGATACACGGAATATGTATTTATGTCAGATTATGTGGTATAAAATACAGAACATAGTAAACGTTGACCTTAGAATTCTATCAATATATTGATGTCTTAAAAGTAATTTGATACCATACACAAACTATGCCCGTTGATGTATAACGTTAAGAAATATAAAAAACATTGTCCTCAGAATACAACATTGTGTAACCACACACGGGAATTTCGCGTCATAATTATTCCTCCGCTTGGTGCGCTGTTGTGCATAGCAACGTCCTATGCAACGTGTATAAACATCGCGCGGACGTATAAGTACAACCCGTCAGTTTTTCATGTTTGCAATGAAATTTTCTATTCAGATAGGTGTTTTAAACTATGATTTTCTTTCATAATATATATTGTTAGATAGGGATGATATATATCATCGTGTTTCTAAAGAATTGCTTATTTTAATCCTGTTTATTTCAAGTTGATAGGTTCAATATTAGTAAAGTTACGGCTTCACTATGGAGGGGCAATTTCTTCGTAAACTAAAAACCGCATCGTCAGCAAAGATTTGACGAAAACACAACATTTTTTGCGCCGGTGGCATTTTTTCATTTATGGATGAATCTTTATCAAATTTGAAACATGTTTGAGCTAAATATACAAATTGTGTCTTGGCCGAGGCGGAATTTTAAAATTCAAATTACAATTAGAGAAAAAATAGCTAACATGTGTCAAGTTTTACCGCTGATTTTCGAAAAAAATATGATGTAATTCCTTATAGAGTTGGAAGAAAACGAATTGTTTAAACTGCACAGGATAAAAATATATTAATCCAGATACATGTAAGCTTTATATACAAACCATTACATACGTTAAAGGGCATCATCAACTACTAGAAAATCGTGTGTAAAGTTGGACAGTATTTGACCAGAATTGACCGGCAAAATGGCTGCGCGCTCGCAGCGCCTCTAGCGGAGGAATAATTATGACGCGAAAATCCCGGGTGTGAACCCCACTTCAGTGCCTTTTGGCCCTGTTTCTATCAATATATATCCGTCTAGGGAAGGGCATACTTTCGAGACATCCTGTATATAATGTAACATTTGCAATATATGAAATAAACAATGGTTGGTGGGCTAGGTGTATGTGGAAAAATGATTGTATGGATAATTTTCAGGACAGCATAGTTGAAGCCTTGAAGCCGTTTATGCATAACCATGACCTTAAAAGCACTGTGCAAAAACTAAAGAATATGGCAATCCTACAAAAGCTGGAGAATAATAAGGTACGTAATATATACTTAACACAAGTCTTTGGTAGGGTAAGGCATGTAATATAGACTTAATATCCGTCTAAGGAAAGGTATGTTATATAGACAAACACAAGTCTAAGGAAAGACATGCTATATCTAAACACAAGGCTTATGAAAGGCATGTTATATATACCTAACACATGTCTAAGGAATGGTGTGTAATAGAGACCTAGCCGAGGTCTAAGGTAAGATATGTTATATAGACTTAATTGAAGTATTAGGTAAGATATGTAAAATATACTTACATAGGTCTATGGAAAGGTATGTAATATAGACCTAACACAAGTATTTGTAAAGGTACGCAAAAAATACCGAACACTAGTCTAAAGAAAGATATTATGTAATACAGACATAGTATAAGTCTAGAGAAATGAATGCAATATAGACTTAACACAGGTCTGAGGAAAATACTCAATTTAAAGAACTTACATAAGTTTAAGGAGAGGTATGCAATATAGACCTTACATAAGTCTAATGAAAGGTATGTGCTTTAGACCTAACAAAAGTCTAGAGAAAGGTATGTTATATAGACCTAACACACGTCTAAGGAAATGCGTGTAATATAGACGTAACAAGCCTATGGAAAGGCATGCAATAAAGACCAAAAATTCATAAGAAACGCATGCAATACATACCTAACATAGGTCTATAGTATATACCTTACCTGAGACTTAACACAAGTCTTAGGAAATGCGTGTAATATAGACGTAACAAGCCTTTGGAAAGGCATGCAATAAAGACCTAAAAGTCATAAGAAACGTATGCAATACATATCTAACATAGGTCTATGGTATATACCTTACCTGAGACGTAACACAAGTCTAAGGAAATGCGTGTAATATAGACGTAACAAGTCTGTGGGAAGGAATGTAATATAGACCTAAAGTCATTAGAAACGTATGCAATATATACCTAGCATAAGTCCCAGGTATACACTGACTGACAGCTATGTAGATTTAATCCTAGTTATTATGTAAATATATACTAGTTGGCGCTTCTTAACATTAGATATCTAATAAGCTAATTATTTAGATAAGCCAGGCAGTGAATCTTATTGGTGTAGCTAGCGCTGTATGCCTATGCTCTATTAATCTGACCACAAGTATCACCAAAATGTTTTATTGCCATGACATTAACAAGAATTAAAATGTATCATTAAAGTCAATTAAAATTAGACTAATATTGTAAGCTCATAAAATTATTCTAATATTATTATAGATCTAAATTACCTGTATCAATTTCATTTATTTGGAGATATTAAAAAATGAAGTATTTGAATGTATGTTTGTATATGTGTGTATTTCTGGGTGGGACATTTTCTGAAATGCTTGTACATGTGTTTTGGTTTGTTTGTTGAGCTGAGGATTATAAGTATTAGTATGATAATAGAAAGGATTCATTCATTCGTTGTTCTATTTCCAATTTGTTCATTTTTATCTTATAGATTTTACATACCTGGAAACTGTTAATAACGTGCAATCTTTTGAGGATATTGATACATATTTATTGATGCTTCTGTTGTTTTGTCTCAGTGTTGAATCAATTTGGCAGTTGCAGTACTTTAACTTAAAAATACTTCAGAATTTCAAAAATGCATACTTTTGTTAAATGTATTTTATTTTGATGGAGATATTCACCTTTCCATAAAGTCAGCTCATGAATATTATAATGAGCCGCTTAAAAATCTGTGACGTCAATGAGAGAAACTTTTTCCCGCGAAAAACAAACGCAATTGAGTTAACATGTAAATCCTCGGTTGATTGCTGTAAGTTTACCTCTTCAAATGTGAAAATTATCAGTAAATTATTGACGGATTTTTATTGAACGTCAAATTGACATTTATTTATTAAGCGATTTATATATTACATTTCTGTTCATAATGAGCAAATAAATTGAAGAGAATTACTCCCTGTCAGTTTTCAATCATAATGGGAACTGCATGTGAACAGGTGAAATTATCCTAATCATTGGTTCACCAACATTATAACATGTCTCATGCATAAAAATATATAGATAGACAATATATTTTAGGTTAATCTTCAGTGCCATTTGATGAATGTGACCTGTTCAAATTAAAAACATTTGCTCTTATTCATTAAATCATTGACTTCACTCCTCCTATAATTCAATCAACTTAACACGATTACTTCCTATTTATTTCTGCAAATCATATATAAGATCGTATCTTGAAAATATTATACATGAAAACATCGGGATATAGAATTGATATATTCCAATGTATATTTCCCACTGCGTATCTCCCGATCCAAATATTCCCGGGAAAATGTTTTTTATTCAGTGTAGAAACAGTCAATTTGTTAGAATATCTTGCTAAAGCAAAACTGTCAAAATAGATCCAGCAGACCGTAAAATTGTTCTTAACCAAAATGATGGTGGATTTCTCTTGAAAATATTTTGTTAATGTGTTTTATGGAGATGGGATCGATCCTCAATAACAAAATGTCAAACAAATCGTGTTTCAATTCGATTGGTTTCGTTTGCGCGAATGTCACTCATGGTGAATTTCTGATGGAACTTCTTACTACGACATACAACAATTCAACAGGTTATTGTATGACCACTATCAGATAATTTGACCGAGTTGTTTGTAACTTCACAATTTAGATGTTTTGTTTACAGTCGCACGAGATATGTGAGCACGGGTATGTGAAGCTGATCTCAGAAGTCTTAATAAACAATAGTTCTGTCAAAAAATGATTAATTTAAATTACATAAGGTTCGGAATGAAAGTGCCCTGTCCATATTTCATGTTTGATTAAAAATTATAGTGCATTGGGCAAATAGAATCCTTTTTATTGCAGTTTTTAAAATATTCCTATGCTGGCTGTACTTATTCTTCAAAACTTTAAGTCATTGACGTCATTGATTTGACGCATTTGCATACAACCAATCAGTTCGCCGGAAATTATCGATTTTCTTTACTTTGTGGAAAGGTGAATATATTGTTTTTTCCAGATTTACTTCTTCAAGAGCAATGTATTTTACTTTTCATGTTCTTACTGTTACATAGTCAACATAATGAAAGTAGTGTTTGCAAGATTTATTTGTGCATTTCTAAATCCTCCATCTCATATAAGTACTTGCTGCTATATATAATATGTGTGTTTACCAGATTTAACTTTTAATTATTATAAGCTTATGAGCTGTTGGAGGGGGTGTCTTAGATTTAAATTTTCTCAAAGTCTCCTGGCGGAAAGTGTATCAAATCTTTTAAATCTTGCAGAAGATACACTAAACTTAAACATATTCTGGTAAAAATACCAACTTTCCAAGAGGAGAATTTTTCCTATATCAGTTTAAAGTTAATGGGCATTAAGATGATCCAAATTCGGGAAAATGGGTAGAAAAGTTCAGATGTTAAATAATCCCAAGTGAATCATAATCTCTTTAATGTCTCAACATCGAAGAGTAAATCAAGCCCTTTAGAAATAGTTTGTATAAGACTCTTACTTGGTTTTAGGTCTAGTTTTAAGGATTCAAAATACACATTAAAATGAAGAACTTCAGGCATTTTGATGCTCATTATGTTGCTAGGCAACAGCAGCGAGTGGTGATGCTATGAATATTAAGCAGGGATATAATGTTACAGTAGCTACGGGATTAAATCTGACAAAATTAGCCGAACTGGTAGCCAGTCTATATACTATAGACCTAACACAAGTCCAAGGAAATGCATGTAATATAGATCCAACGCAAAGGACGGGTGTCATTTAGGGCCTTTTTTAGCCCCCAAAGATATCTGATAATAATGCATATCATATTGAAGTAAAATCATTTGTGCTTTATAAAAATACAATTCCAGCGAATTTTGACCTTTGATATTCACACAGCAGTCATTTAAAGAGAATATACCATTTTTAGTGTTTTTACAAACATTTCTTTATTTAGTGTTGTCTAAGTAAATAATATATATATATATATAAACCAATTTAAATATATTAAAATGAAATATATGAAATACTGAAGAAAGGATTTTGTCTGGACTCACTTATTATGTAATACTGAATTGTATAACTGTTTACTGCATTAAATGTCAAGTATACTATCTGTATTTAATTTCAAATGCCTATCTCACTTAGGTACACAGGAAATGAATTTTTGAAACAAATTCAGCACAACCAAAATCATGTCCACATATATGACAAATCCAAGATGGCTGCCACAATTTTAGATCCATGCACATGTAAAGAAGTTAGAAATACACATGAACCACAAGTCCCATCCCCAATAAAATGGGACGTTTAAGGTTCTTACACATATCAACTCTATTCCTATATACGTTATATTTGTGGTAAGGCTTGTGATCTAGGTAAACTTAGCATATTCATGTACCTCCTATCATATGAAGTTAAAAACAGAAATAGTGACTTCAATTGAGAAAAAAGTATCTTATGGGCTCCATATACATTTTGAGTGGCTGTCCAGCTTAAGTTAGATGCTACTGTTAATCTGAGATTGAAAATTATGTCAAGTTTAGTCCTCAGCCTCTCATAACTGATAACCTGGAGGTAATTGTGTTGTTACTGCAAAAGCCTCTATTTCTTCATCACAAATCTACCATATTTTGCATCTGTCAAAACCCCTCATTTCATGTTAATTTTCAGACTTTTGCTTGTGCAATCTTTAAATATATATACTCAACTTGTTATTCAGAATATTTTAAGAACATTTCACGAGGTTTTTTATTTTCACACTTTTGAAAAATGACTAAGTCAGAGAATGACCTCTTAATGGCATGACCCCTTTGAGGTAAGGTACAGGGTGGTCAAAAAAATGGAAACCTTGTCGCCATTTTCCTCATATCTTTGTCATTTTCGGAAATTACTCCCTGATATTTAGCACATTTGTACATCATTCAATTTCCTACTGGCCTACCATATTTCATGACCATCAAATTGAAAGTCACAATGGAACAGCACTTTAAACAACATGATCCATTGGCCAATATTGCACTTTCGGCAAACCTGCACCCATCATCCAAAATGTTCCTACCTAACTTCAACCTGTGGTGATACACAAAAAAGAGTGTACGAGAATAACCCCAGGACAACTGCAGACCTCAAAAAGCAGATCATCCATGTTATTCAGGCCATACCTGCTGAAAAATGTAGTCAGATCATTGACAACCTTTTCAGATTTGCCAATAGTGCGATGGTGGCCACACTGGGGCATCTTGTTCAAAGTGCTGTACCATTGTGACTATCAATCTGATGGCCATGAAATATAGTTAGCTGGTAGGAAATTGTATGTTGTACATGTGTGTCAAATTTCAGGGAATAATTACTCAAAATGACGAAGATATGAGGAAAATGCAGGGTTTCCATTTTTAACCACCCTGTATATAATATAGCATTAACACAAGTCTAGGGTAACGTATGTAACATAGACCTAATACAAGAGTTGCTGTTCAAGCTTGGAATGAAACGATAGTAAAATACGTTTTTACATGCGGTCCGCTATGAGGACCGCAGAAATAAACAAATATTATAACCTTGAGTTATAATTTCTACGGCTAACCCGATGCTTGTAAAAAAACTGGATAAGCTGTATGGAGGCCGCAAGGCGAACGTAGTTTCTTACGCTCGCCATAGTTTCCTACGCTCGGCGCAGAAATTCACTGATTTAATTGATCTGCGGTCGACGTAGGCCGCCGTACGACAGATGTGACTTTGTTGGTATTGATACCATAATATCGAAAACGTTGAGAATGCATGTATAAAACACGTCATATGACTGATTGAGACTATGCATTAAAATATTCAATGATCATTGTTAAAGATAACATTTGATATACAGGGTGTCCCAGAACTCATGAGAATTTTTGAGGGAGATAAAAGGCATGAATGATTTTCCTTCAAATTTAGTGCACATAATAAACAAACATTGAGGAATAACTGACATGAATTTCAGGCACATATCTTTTATATTTCTGAATTTATTGACATTTGAATTCTACATTGCCACAAACTCTGGAGTAGTCAGATAAAACAATTTACGTCACATTTTGATAATATTTACACAACTTCTCTACTCTAATAGCATTGTTTTCATTGAATTATTTCAGCGTTTCAGTACATTAGTTAATAGGATCATACACATTCAGCTAACATATCTCCACAGAGTTATTATAGCATATTATCTGCAGTTGATGTCGTATTTTCAGCTACTCTATACACATTCCTAAATCGTCCAATCGCCATTTCTATAGGATCATCTGAAACAACATGACTCAATTCTTCCTCCGTTTCAGTGACATGGCTCACTAATCTTTGTTTAGGTCCCAAAAGAAATCAAAAGTCTAGTAGAGCAAAATCTGGCAAAGTATATGGAGCTACTATATGTATACTGTGAAGTCTCAATAGAAAGTAAAATGGATGCACTACTGACATACATGTAGTGACTTATTTACTGGTGCATTGTCAATATGCAAGATCATATTGGCTAGCAAATGGAGACATTTCTTTCAGTCCCTCAGGAACATGGCATTATGATCTTTCAGCAAACCAAATGTACAATCTATTGATGTATTGGGTCTCTTTCAAAGTTTATATATCGTTTTATCAAAATGCATTATCAATATGAGAAAAATGCTGAACTAAGCTTAGACAAAAAAAAACGTTGGTTTTATTGTTGAGAATTTGTATAAAATTGACAAATGTGACATAAACTGTTGTATTTCCCGATAACTTCGGGGTTTGTGGCGATGTAGAATTCAAATGTCAATAAATTCGGAAATACAAAAGATACGTGCCTGAAATTCATGTCAGTTATTCCCCAAAGTGTGTTTAATAAGTGTACTAAAGGAGTACGTGGGTTATCGCAAACAATTTCAGAAGGTTATATCTTGGATTATGAGTATTTTCTGACAATGAAGACAAGTTTATCTTTTAGATCAATTCATTATCTCAAAGAATATTATGCACAGTAATAATAAATTCAAACAAACTCGGAGATATTTAACTAGCAATTAACCCATCAACACACTTTTTGACCCCATTTTGAAGATGTTGACCCGATTTTCACCAAAAATGCAATCATTTTTTACAATGTTTAATGCATTACTATTCTTTATTTTGATGTATCAAATAGTTCTTGAAAGAAAAACTTAATTGCATTAAGATAAGTGTTCCCCATGTTATTTCTCCATTGAAAAATCTCATGCTATCCATTGGTTTCAGTTCATTTTGGTCATCCAAATTAAATATCTTTAAAGTCCCTGGAGCAATCAAATTTTCCTTTAAGAAATCGAACATGTCTCAAAGCACATTCTAATTATGCATTCAACAATATAATAATAGGTTGCATTTTTGGTGAAAATTAGGTCAACATTTTTGAAAATGTATGTTGATTGGTCCATTGCCCCGTCAATATCACTTAGGTCTGATTAACTAAATTATCATTATATATACTTTTCTTGAAGATAATGAATGGATCTAAAAGATACACCCATGTTCATGATAAAAAAATATTCATAATTTAAGTTAGAATCGTTTGAAATTGTTTGCGATAACCTACGTGCTCCTTTAGAGAATAATCACCTGCGCCTTATATCTCCCTCAAAAAATCTCATGAGTTCTTGGACACCCTGTATATTAAATGTGTAAACACATTAAATATTCCTCTTTGATTTTCAGAAAGTATTTAATGTTGAAAAAGATGCAAACTTTGATGGAGATATTGAACTAACAGAGGAACAGACATTAATGTTTTTAAAAAACTTTCTGGTTCGGAAAAATGGACATCATCTCCAAAATACAGCAATTCCGACTGAGCTTGAGACTAAAAAGAGAGACAAGCGTGATGTTAGAGAACCAATGGAAACATATAAAACCACGAGTAGACATAGAACAAAACGCAAAGTTAAACCGTCCGACCAATGGGATCTGCCCATAAACTACTACATTAGCCGAGTGTACAGTAAGGGAAACCATTTTGTTATAATTACAATGGTGCACATGTTTTGAGTAATGTTTTTTTGGTATGATATTTTTCTACTCAAAAATACAAGAAATTACAAAAGTTATTAAATTACCTCTACATTGCCGTCTATACTCGCATGTAAATGATTTTTTCATTGTAATGTCTCACAAACGTTCATTAAAGTAAATACAATGTTTTGAATGCCAGGAGTAGTATAACCCAGAGGAGGAGCATTACCATGTTAGGGTGTTAGAAGTAGTATAACTCGGACGAGTAACAGTTCAATGAACAAGGGCTCCAGATGAACAAGGGCTGCACGGGTGTTTATTAGGATGTCATTAGTTGTATAACTTATTGGGATTTTAGTAGTAGTTTGACTAAGGAGAGTAACAATCTAATGGACGGGGGTTAAACATGGTGTTTATTAGGTATTAAGTAGTAATATAACATAAGATTAGAGGAGTATCAAATGGAGGGTTCGGGGCAAATCAGAAATCATAATATCATTTCAGTAAAAGATTCAGCAAAAAATATTTTTATATAGAAAATTGAATTGTCTGACTTTTTTTTAACACTAAGTGTTTATTTTATTTGATGAATATTAAAGTTACAGCGCTTTAAACTCATGTTTGAAAATCATTTTTTCGCCTCCTGTGTTATTTCAATGGGAGAGGTTTTTTGAAAAACAATTTTGACTTTAGAGCCCTATAACTGTGTTGAACCTGAAGAAACATATCAATTTTTTGTTAAATAAAGTTAGCAAATTCAATTGCCTGCCCAACTCGTATTTTTTGCAAGGACTCGGATGGATGGATATTCTTTCATATGACTAGCGGCAAACCTACCATTTCCCATTGGTTAACATGGGAATGTAGATTTTCAAAAATTCATCAAATTCATCATCAATTTTCGACCTATTGTAATTGAGGAAAAAATTGAGAAAATGTGGTGGTATTGGAATTAAAGTCAAATTACGTTTCAATCAATAGTATAAGTATTTGCAAATTGTGTTGAGACAATTTGAAGGGCACATATTGTATGGTATGAGATACTTTATTTTGAGCAATGATGTCTCAAGCAGAGAAAAATTTGGAAATTTTTCATGACGCACACAGTATCATGACCATGGCAGGTCAAAAATAATCATACACACATATTTTTATCTTTAACATTTTCACAAATAACAGGATCTTAAGAGGTTCTGGACAAATCATTTGATTCTGGACTTATTTATATTTTTTTCAACGAAATCACATCCAAGGGTTGAATTTTTATTAGCTATTTAGAGAGTGAGTCCTGCCTAGTATTAATTTCAATAAAAAGTTTACATAGAACCCTATTTGAGAGTCAATCTAATACTTACATTACATTGATAAATTAAGGCAAATCCTGAAATATTTTTAAAGTGCATTTTTTATGAAATATTATCCAGCAAGTATTTAGATGAAACGGTCTTATTTAAATACAAATCATAACATGATGATATTTTTCATGAAACATTTTTCAATGGAATTCAATTGAAGGGTCAAGATAAAACGAGCTAATTTAGGTGAAAACCCTTACATGATGATGTGTTTTCATAACTTCTTTCATAAAATTCCATCAAGGGGTGAAGATAAAATGATCGAATTTAAGTGATTTAGGATCACGAGGATATGTTTTCTTTGATATTTTCTATGAAATCCCATCCAATGGTCAAGGTAAAATTTTGATTTTGATTTGGTATTAGGTCACGTGTTCGAAAGATCCATATAAGGCCCATAGAACCATATAGGAACGTCATTTTGAATGTCACGTGATAGATCCATATAAGGCTTTTAGAACCATGTATGGAAAGATGAGGGGAAGCCCCTGACACCTGTTTCACGATTTTATCCGAACGTTGTTCGGATCATTTCGGTTTTTATGCACTTCATTATTGTACCGAAGTTTGCCGATTCGATTCGTCGTATTTCGGAATCCTGGTGACAATTTTATACTCCATTGGAGTATTTTTGACCTACTTCTTATGACGGAAATTCCCGAACCTTGTTCGGATTAATCCGGATTTTCTGACCTACTTTATCTACCGAGATTTCACGAATTAACATTCGTCTCATTCCGGAATCCTGGTGACAATTTTATACTCCATTGGAGTATTTTTGATCTACTTTTTCTGGATTTTGCCCTACTTATTATATTTTGACAACAAGCAAATCAAAAAGTTCGAGATGAACGGGTCTCGATCAACTAACCTAGACAATGGAAGCCAGGCACGCTAACCATGAGGCCAACGAGCTACCGATATGAAAGAACAAAAGTATTATATATTTATACCGAGCGTCAATTCAAAATGATCCTCACTTAAATATGACTCGTCAGTTGTATCCAGAATAGTAGAACGCCTATGGCGCTAGTGAATAACCAAGTCCCAGGTTAGTGGTTCGTATCCCTCTGTGATATACTATTTTTGTTTTATTAAATACGCGAGAAAGGAGCAAGGTGTAGGTTGAAAACAAGACGTTAGTTTGTTTCAAAACAGTTTGGAAACATTAATCTCTGATAATTTAAGGTTTTCCACTCCTGAAGGGCCTCTAGATCTATGAAATTCATTAATCAAGACAGTGTAAAATTTTTAGATATATGTAATACGTTTTCATACTTTAGCCTGTGGAATCAACTAAATATTACATTTTGGATTTCATTGATATCCTGTCATAGTCCTAATTTTTTTTTGAAACATTATTTTTTCAACACTGATACAAATTTCCCTGACATTTCCCTGACATATCTACCGTTTCAAAATTCCCGGTCATCTTTGGCACTTTTGACCTAATTTTAAAATTACCTGACATTTCCAGCACTTGGAAAATCAAGTCAATTTCCCTGACATTTCCAGGTGTGTACGAACCCTGGAAATATCCCAATGGCTCGCCCTGTGAATCGCTAGCACAGATTGGATTGATTAGTGTTTCAAAATGGTGGACGAAGTGTATTACGCAGTGCAAATTCAGTCCAAAGCTTCTATAAAGGGAGTCCAACTTATAGATTTTGAAAATCCGACTCGTTTAAAGAAGAATATCAGCAGCTTAAATCATACAAAATGGATGGAGGGGGGTAGGCGATTTCTGCAAGAAAACTCAACAAATTTGGAAGATTTATTTTTTTCAAGATATTTACAACTGAATTGCCAAATGAATAGGCGCAGTGCATGGCAAAATATGTAAGGTCTTCTAGTATTTTTTTGAACTGATACGCTTCTAAGATATGAGATCTATTATAAAAGGCGCATCATCATCATCATCATCATCAACGTGCAAAAGTCAATGTTTTTGCTATAAATCAGGCAACAATGGTCTACACGACCTGTAATAAATAGGTATGAGGGGCGTTATTATCACAACACTGACATTGCTCACTTTTTAAAGTTGTTTCAATGCGTTATATGTAAATGGGCGTGTGGAAGCCCCGTGGGTGGCAATAAAATAACTCGAACTTCAAATTAAAATATATATAAAAAAGTATATTTCAAACTTCAATGTTCAAAATACAATGCTCTGTAATGTACAACATGAACTCGTACACACTACTATACCCCCATACTGTATCCTGTATTCCTTTAAAAGAAGTACAGGCTACAGGGAAGTTGCAAATGGAGGACGTTTGTTTATTTCCATAGTTCTGAATGTTTACTAGATTTTACACATATTCTAAGTGTTCTACTACACATTGTATAGATTCATCGAGCAGTTTGCAACGTATTATTACCAGAAAAGCCCAATGGACAAAGATAGAGAATACCCGCTCCATTTGCAACTTAACCGTACCCTGTATCATTTTTAAATGTGGTCACGTGGTAGGGTAGTGTGTCTTACAACAACTACTGACAAGCCAACACCTAATACAAACTCAGCTGCATGTGAGTGAGAAAGACCATATAAGGGAACAATAGATATATAAAACTGACACAGTTTGCATAGTTGAATAACTGGTTTCAATAAAAGGTGAAAAGTGAACATGGTATTAAAAGAGTAAAACTGCAATCAACCTACTTAGGGACCTGTCATATTGAGATGAATAGGGATTGATTAATATGAACAGTAATAATATAAAATGTGAAAATGACCATGTTACATATACAAAAATAACCCCATTGTTACAAAATCACAAAAAGTAAAATATCTATTCTTGTATTGCATTTTCGTTCACTGGACATATTTTAATTTGCATTGCTATTAGATACATTTTATGGGTGATTTGAAAATTGAACCACGAAAACAGATGTACTTTAAATTAAAGGGAACTTTCTACCATACCCGCCATGCTATCTGACCCGAACGAGCCACCTTGTGGTGAGATTGGTAACTACCTGCTCGCATCTGCGTTATTACGCAGAGACATAAACGTATCACAAGGAAACTATAGTAGCTAACCTATTTTATCTCTGTATACATTTTAACTGTAATACATCGTTACAAAAAAATACAAAATACCTGTATATTGATTTTTTGACCTTGACCGATTCTTGAATTGAATCGAATTTGTCCAAAGGTCTTGAAACGTAAAATACCTAAATATTTATCTTTGACCTTGGGATGACCTTGTACAAGAAACATTAATGTTGACCTCGGTTCATCTAATCATAATTCGCCAAGGGCCATAGTATCATCAAACGCCAAATACCTAGACATTGATCGTTTACCTTTGAATAAACTTAACTCTGACCTTCGGAGACCAACTTACTAAGGTTAAATGGTGTAGAAGGAGATGTCCCGACAGACAGACAAAATGACAGACAGACCAAACATGCTTTTATAGTAGGTCTCGACATCTCCTTTTGCCCTCATACTTGATGGGCCAGTGAGTGTTCTACTAAGGTCAGAGGTCAAAGTCATTCTAGGTTAAAGGCAGAATCAGATATATGGAGGTGACAAAATTACAAGCAACATGTACAATTGACGTACTTATCTATTCCTTACAATCTCAAATACAATATCTCACAAAATATTTACGATATG